GTTTTTTGTTGTTGTTTTAATACCTTAGTTAAAGGGTGTGGGCAAGTAATTTTGCAAAAGGGCCACATGAGAAACTGGAATGTTTGCCGAGGGCCAAGCCAAAGTGCTAACTTCAACTTCCTATTTTTTAAATTTTAATGTATTGAGAAAAAGTGGATTGTCTTGTTTCAATAAATTACCACGTTTCGATATGTATTGTTATAATTAGGAGTACATTTTACTCGATACATCAGCCCTCAACTCATATTAGCTGTTCCGAGACAGGACTCCGAAATATATACATAGATAGGTGGAGAGTATAATTTCATTGACAGTGATGTACAATGATACTTTGATAACATAAAATATACTCAACATGAACAGGCTATGAAAGTTTAGATTTGCATGCAGTATGATCAGGGCGAATCTTCATGCTCCTTTTATCTTCACTGTGCAAAAAAGAAAGAATCATGCTAACATCAAGACCACTGTTGTGTTTTTGGGAAAAAAAAACATTTGCTGGAGTGATCAGAAAAGTTACTAAATATCGTGAACATATCAAGTTGGCAGCACTGCGGACACAAGTCGGAGGTTTTGCTTGCTACCTTGCTTGTACTTTGTTGTGGTGGGAGCTGCCGTGGTCGCGAGTCTTTGTCAATAGATACACTGTGGAAAAGCAGCGGAAGCCTAATTGCGCTAATTTTCTCTGCTCAATTAAAAACAGATCTGTTGTAAACACGCTGCCTGTGAATGCGCAAAACAACAAGGACAGATAATGTTGGTCAAAAAATGTCACGGCCAAAAACACCTGAGGTTTACATGCACATTAAGCATTAAATCAGGCATGTCCAGGTCCGGCCCTTGAAGGCCGCTGTGCTGCGTGTTTTTGATGTCTGTTGTACTCCTACACCACTGAATTGTTACTCTGCCTAGATTGCCGCACGTGTCATCTCTCATGATTGGTCCGTTTGATCACAATGTGATGACGTAGAAGTCAGCTTTCCCCGGCTAGGTTCCTCAACTCACAAGGCCTTTTTATCAAGTCAAGTACAACTTTATTGTCAAATGCACTGTATGTGCAACATACAGCACAGATGAAATTTCTTCCCTCTCAACCAGACAACAAGAGGAGCCGCTGCGGGTGCCCACGCCTCCATCAAAAAGGACAGTTAACATAAAATGACAAAATAATACAAAAGAAGACACAAGACACAGACAGTTGTGCAATCTTAACCACTTTTCCTGCATACACTTTGTTGTTTGAAGCAGTAATAGATGAAAGAGGAGTGAATCAAAGTGTTTTTTTCACCAGTGGATCAAAGCCGTAATGCTGAAAATGTGCAAACATCCACTACAAGCTAGTTTTGCGAGCAACAAGAAGCTGTAGCGTCCATTAACGAAAAAGAGATTGGCTCTCATCTCCTGTCCCATGTAAATCCGCTTCAATTCCAAGCCACGATTCCCGGTTCCACATACGCATCGGCGTTCTGCGCTGACGCTCCTTATAAATAAATTGTGAGCGTTCATAAGCAAATTAAAAATTGCAAAGTGCATTAGTTCGCGTTCAATAAGACAAGAGATACTGTAGGTGCATGTTGAGGCACAGCTATCCTGCAGCCAGAGATGATTGGGCTCTCTACACGCTGTTCTTTAATGTTCGGTGTTGAGTGGCGTGTGGAATTACGGTTTGGCGCGAAACACATATCGAATTGCGTATCGAATTCCTCCTCAAATTGATTTTTTAGGGCTGACTGTCTACACTGTGTTTAGCAAGTGTCCAAAGGGGATTTGGCCCTGTTCAGACTGAGCCATATTACAGACGCACCTAACAGGTTGCTGTAGCAACGACGACAGAACGAAGGCATCATCCAGCATGTGTCGTGTTTAACGTCATATAATTGCAACAGCAGCAACAATAACAAATACATGCCCTTGAACTTTGCTTGTATGCCGCTATCTCCCCACGGACTGATAAATCAATGTGTTCGATGTCTATGGTGTGCTCGATTTTTTTTAACCGCTATGCACTTCGATTGGCCCTCTCTGGTCTGGTGTATTGGGTCTTGGGTCACCTGACAGTCAAAACTCATCGGTGGTTTTGGAGCTGTTCAGACTGAGACCCATTATGTTCAAATCGGATATGAAATGACCTTTCCAATCTGGTTTCGATCCATCTTACAAAAATCGGATTTCTTTGAGACTGTTCAGACTCCAGAAGGGCTATCCAGTTTCATCAGGTTGTGTTAAAAATCTGACTTTGGCTTACAGTCTGAACAAGGCCAAAGTGACACAATGGTGTCAGGCTTATCAAAGTGGACTAAGTTTGGGCTGCATTTGCTTAAAGTAATTATGAACCGCACACAAAGTATTGTCTGGTATTGTGGTGTCACCTCTCTGAGTAAACTTGAAAAGAGTTTTTAGTTTTATGTCTTATTATACCACTCCTATTTTATAGCTAGTACCAGTGCTAACGGGGCAGTTGTGGCAATTTAGGTCCTTTCTTAGCCATACTGCGATTATTGGTCCAACAACGTGCATTGTTGGAGAACTGGCACAAAGGGCCAAGAAACACAATAAGTATGAGAAAAGTCTCACTGGAACTTCATAAGTTGGCGACATTCATAGTCATTCGTTTTTATGTTTCACTGGTTTAACTTTTCAGACTATGCTGCTAAAATTCTCAGTGCATCATTTCCGTAGCGCCCTATTTATATATTTATTTATTTTTTGAATACTCTTTATAATCCCTCAAGGGGAGATTCAAGTCACAATCTGCTCCGTAGTTGTACTGCACACCACACAGAGATTCGGAACACACATATTCAGGCGAGCAAGGAAAGATGTCGAAGTGAAAGAGGCGCTCAATCGTGTTGTACCTCTCGAGTTGGGAGGAAGCTCGTGTTGATAATAGTCAGGAAGGAACCAGACTAGCATGCTCACACAATCAGTTGTCATTTTTTTGCATTTCATTCCTTTGAAATCCTCAAACATCACCCTCCATTTATATTTTCCGCACTATAAGGCACACCTAAAAGCATTCGATTTTCTCAAAAACTGACAGTGCGCCTGATAATCCGATGTGCCTTATATATGGATCAATATTCTGATTTCTTGGCATAGTATTTTAAAAGTTCTGTCAAGCGCTTTGCAACAGATGCAGCGGTTGTGAAATCTCTACATCAATAAATCTGTATTGTGTTGTATTCCCTTTAGCATAGCTCCATCTAGTGGCTGCATAACATAACCGCAGCCACTATTGTATCTTCTGTTCTATGCACCTTATAACACGGTGCGCCCTATATATGAAAACAATTTGAAAATAGGCCATTCATTGAAGGTGCACCTTATACTCCGGAGCACCTTATAGTGCGGAAAATACCGTACATTTAGAGTCTTTTATGTCTTGTTTGCCCCTGTGTTTTTTACGTGTCTTGATTGTTAGGCGTCATCTCACCACTCGTGTCTTGTCCGGGTGTTTCTTATTGTTTAGTCATTTTGCTTGTATTAAGTTCCCTGGTTTATTTCGGTCCTTGCCGTTTCTTTGTTTGTTATTCCTGGTACTGTTAACGTCCTCCTATCATGGTGAATTTAGTCTGATTGTTTGTGTGTTTCCTTTAATGTTTTTTGGGCGGGTTGACTTTCGTTCATTTAGTTTTCGGATTATTCCAAAGTGCAATGTGTTCTTTTTTTTTTTTTTTTTTTTTTTTTTACATTCTTGTCATTAAAATACTTTTTGAGAACACTCTTGCCTTACTGCCCTTCTTCCCTGCATGTGGGTCCTCCACGTAAACTTTTAATCATCACACCAAGTCATTCGATATGTACTAATGCCACCCAAAATTGAATCCGGTAGGAAGAGCACAGAGATGACAACCTCCACACAGGCCAAAGTGAAATCTCAATGAGAGAGATGGGCTAACCACCCATCCACCTTGCTGCACAGAAAATGCAATGCATTAAATGAAGGATTAAAATTAAATAAACTATTATAGTATGCAGCAATCTGTAAATGAGACAAGCCCCCCCATCCCGGCTGGAAAAAAAAAAACAGCTATAAACACCCATTAATAGTAAACTACCGGTAGTTTTTCTGATATAGAATTATGTTTTATTATTTTGTGTATCTTACAGAGCTATACGGTGAAGCCATCATAGCAGGATTCGTCAATGAACACTTCAGCTGCTTTTCTTGAAAAACAATTCCTATTGCTTGATAGCGCAACTGCAATCACAATTGGTACATCCCCAGCATCTAATGAGCTTTGATGTTCAAGCCGTTTTGGGGGGAGAAGTGAGGACGGTTTCATTGTTTTCTTTATCTTCTTACTGCACACGAGAGGGGTAATAACTCGGAAAAGAATTTCCTCTCAAAATTTTGGAGACTAGTGTCTGACTTTGAGTCTTTATATGTTAGTTAATATATGCATCCGTTTTTCTACTAATGAAAAATTGGGCATCCGCCTATTCGTCTCAATTATTGTTCAAAGTGTCCATGACAGGAAGACCACTATACCCATCAGATTCCATTTTTGTGATATACAGTCAAACCTCGGTTTTCGAACGTCTCTGTTCTTGACCGAAAATCGGTTCTCGTCCAAACTGAGCGCACTTGAATGCGCCACTTCACTCCTCTCGCCTTCCTTACACGAGGAAGGCACACTTCGTCGTGTAGCGTTCCATTGTGAGCAGACGTGGTAGATAAAGATTTTTTTTTTTAAAAGAGCTTGGTTTCGGTTTTGGAACAGCCTTCTGGAACGGATTATGTTCGAAACCCGAAGTATGACTGTATTGTCATCATGATGTTACATGATCAACAACAATTGGTTACTTCCCTCCTATTTATTTGTCAGTGTGAACTCTGTGTCTTGTAATGTGAAGGATACCAAGAGGGAGGAAACAAAACGATGCAATTGCAAGTGAACGAAGGGAGTGGCTTTACAATTAAAATGCTTCAGCTTCGACAAATATGAGCGCTGGACATTGTAAGTTGACAAATGTGAAAGCCAGATAAATTTGTTTACCTCCACAGGGTAACGTCGGCCCTTGATGCTATGTTCAGAGCCCTCCGATCCGTTGCTTGGCCCCCAGTGAAACTCCACTTTCTCTGCTTTAAATCTCCCCGGTAGGCCTGCTCCTCTCACAAAATAATCATCTTTGAGCATTATGGCCACTGGAGGAAGGACACAAAGAGAAAATCAAGACATTATAAGTGAAAGGGATGACGCATCGCACACAGTTCCCTGAGAAACAACTGTATGCACAGTCTAGTGTCTTGTCAGAAGCGTTTGTACCCCTTGAATTTTACCACCACGCAAACACAAGGAAAGGATACATAGTTTTCAAAATCTTGGGCAAATGAAAATCAAAAAAATGTGCTGTGCATTTGTGTTTATCAGCCTTAAGGGAGCCACGCTTTTCTCTAACTGCAAGTCTTTTGGGAATATGTCTCGACCAGCTTTTGCACATCCACGCACTGAACATTTTGTTGATTCCACTTTGCAAAAAAGCTCAAGCTCAGCCACACTCAGATGGAGAGAGTCTGTGAACAGCAATTTTCAAGTCCTGGACTTGAGGACACGCTCCGTTTTGTTTTCAATACAAAAAAAATATGTACTCCACAACCCGATGTACTCTTTGAGATTGGAAATTAAACAGCAACAATAGTGGTGAATTTTCATGATTGAAAGAACCAACAAAATGGATTAAAATGATGACATTAATATGCAGGGTTTCACAGTTTTTAATAGTGGGGAATCAATTGGAGGTTTTTGAATTAATATCCCTTCATCAAATCACAACATTTGGAAAGGTAATTATATTTTTAAATTTTAATCATTTTTGGTCAATGAATACATATGCATGAACATTATAAACATCCATCCATCCATTTTCTGATCCGCTTATCCTGACAAGGCTCGCGGGGCGTGCCGGAGCCTATCCCAGCTGACTTTAGGCAGTAGGCGGGGCACACCCTAAACGGGTTGCCAGCCATTCGCAGGGCACACAGACAAACAACCATTTTCGCTCACAATGACACCTCTATTCCCGAACCTCCGCCATTATATATAGCATTATCCACTCTGCCACCCACTCGCCATTCTCTCTTTCACTCTCTCTCGTTCTCTTCTTCCTGGCACACTTAGTCTATTTTCTGCCTCCCCTCATCCAGTCCTCCAGCCTCCCGCACTCCCACACTCACTCCATCGGCCCGTGTTTGCTTCGGCCGTATATAGTACCGCTTCCTTGTTGTTTGTCTCTGCTCTCTTGACATTTCGCTTGTCATCTCTCGTATCCTTCCGTCGCCAAGAGTTCCACCCCACCAGTGTTTGACTGAACCCCCACCCGCCTCAACACATCTCGTCTTTTCCTGTGCCCCCCCCCTACCTCTGTTTTGCCTTCCATCACGTGTGATCACAGTATTGATTGCATGCTCTGGTGACAAGCACAGTAATGGACGGCCGCAAAAACGAGACAACAGAAAACGCTGGCAAAAACGAGTACCAGGAAAGGCACGAAAAAACCGAATAACAAAAAACGCTCGCACGAAGGCAAGGAGAAAAACAATCTAGTTGCAATAATAATACACACCGAGAATCACACTCCAAATACGAACTAGCGCACAAAGGCGAAATGCGAGAAGGTACTACGACACAATGGGCACAGCAGTGGCACGGTAAACAATTCTCCGGCAAGTGAAAACACGAAAGCCGGCCCTAATAAAGCCAGTGCCTGATTTCTAATGGGTAGCAGGTGTGCATCCGGCCGAAAACACCGTCTGCCACCTGCTGTCGCAAACGGGACATGACAGACTTTAGGCAGTAGGCGGGGCACACCCTAAACGGGTTGCCAGCCATTCGCAGGGCACACAGACAAACAACCATTTTCGCTCACAATGACACCTAGGGACAATTGAGAGAGTGTACAATCAACCTACCGTGCATGTTTTTGGAATGTCTGAGGAAAGCGGAGAAAACCCACACAGGCACGGGAGAACATGCAAACTGCATAAAGGAAGGCCGGAGCCGCAATCAAACCCTACACCTCTGCACTGCGAGGCGGACGTGCTAGCCGCTCACCCACCATGCCACTTGACATTGTACATGAGAGAGAGAGAGGCAGAGAGAGAGAGAGAGAGAGAGAGAGAGAGAGAGCGAGAGAGAAAGAGAGCGAGCGAGCGAGAGAGAGAGAGAGAGAGAGAGAGAGAGAGAGAGAGAGAGAGAGAGAGAGAGAAACATACACAAACCAATTATAGGGATGTGATTTAAAGCTGATTTTAGCCTGCTTGATGCTATAGAGGGAGCAACATTACTGTTACCATTGCATTGATCACCATTGTACCTTTTATGAATTAAGAATCCTCAGCTGAACCACTGCCAACGTGACTCACGTGTCTCAACTAATTTTCATGAGCAGTTTATGAGCTTGTCATTTCACGCCTCTTGAGCTTCTGCTCCATTTCAGATAAAAACCTCCATCCACCCATTTTCGATCTCGCTTCCCCACCATGCAGTTCTGTTGCATATTGAGAGTTTATCCTGCATCTATTGTTTCTTGATATGCCACAAACGAGACTCAGTCAAATGTTTACAGTTGCAGATTTCATTCCCTTCATTTGCGGATGTGAAGCTTTAGGTTTCAAAGTTAATCAAACGATGAAATGTTATCCGAATCTCAGTTTGCTGTGCTGAAGTATGTAGGTTTCCCCCGTTTCCATCATCGTGCTCAGTGGAGGTGATCCCTCTGCAGATAAAGCGCTCATCTGTCGTTTACAAACTGCAAGGTATGCATGCATTATTCATGCCAAAAGACAGGGACATTTGTCTTGTTAGCCATGCATTATGAAGAGGGGGAGAAGAACCTACATGCCATTTTTCTTTCACAGCTCTTGTTAGTGTTGCATTTTTACTGGGCTTTCAACATGCTACAACACCCACAGCTGATTTTTTTTTCTTGTGTCCACTGTTTAACCTGAATATGGGTATGGCTCTTAAATATATTTGGACAATGCTGATGTACGTCTATTTATTATTTCTTCTTTTAATGTTGCCTCTTTTTTTCACCTTCCCAGCAACTCAAAACAAGTGTTTATTGTATTTGTGGACATTAGTCGTTGACATGAAAAACAGAAGTTGGCTTTGACAGTGTTCAAACCACTCTGTTTGCACAACCAACAGATTATACTAAATTAAATGGTCTGTCATGGTAAACATGGTACAAAATAAGCCATGTTCTGTGCATGTGTGAGAATCTATGGGATTGAAAAAAAAGAGAGGCTACCAACTAACAAGCAGGTTTGTAGGACAGTATGACAGAACTGTCCTCCTTAAAGCATAGTTGTCGAACTCTAGTCCACGAGGGCCGCTTTCCTGCATATTGTCCATTTCTCCCTGCTGCAACACAACTGATTCAAATGATCAGCTCATCAGCAGTCTCTCCAGGAGCCTAATAATGATCCTGATTCTTTGGATCAGGTGTGTTGCAGCTTGGAGGGATGGAAAACGGAAGGATAACGGCCCTCGAGGACCGTAGTTTGACACCTGTGCCTTAAAGCTGGCAGAAGGCTTTAAGCCTCATGTGACAAAACAGCAGGTGTACTTCGTGCCATGTGTAACTGCTCTAACGGAATTTAGAGGCTTGAACGTTGCTACAACCCCTCCGCCGCCACCAAAAAACAAACAAAAAAAAAAAAAACACCATTGCAAAGCACCATTCGTCAAAATTTCCTGGCAGAAAAAAGATCCAGACAGACCAAAAAGATTAACTTAAATTGTACACTTCTTGACGCATTTATTCGCATTCACATTTATTTTGTCAATATCTGAGACTAGCAAGCTACCAGACAGCGTAACTAATGAGAGGCATGATGTGATCAGCCTGGCAGAAATACATTTTAACATCACCTTTGGAATCTATAAATGTTTTAGCATGTCAATATTATTGTGGGGCGGTTAGTGCGTCTGCCTCACATTGTAAAGGGGCAGGGTTCGCTTCTGGCTCTGGCCTTCCTGTGTTGAGTTTGCATGTTCTCCCTAGACCTGCGTGGGTTTTCTCCGGGTACTCCGGTTTCCTCCCGCATTCCAAAAACATGCATGACAGGTTAATGGAACACTCTAAATTGTCCCTAGGTGTGAGCATGAGCGCAAATGGTTGTTCGTCTATGTTCGATTGGCTGGCAACCAGTTCAGGGTGTCCCCCGCCTGCTGCTCAGGGACAGCTGGGATTGGCACCAGCACCCCCCACGACCCTCGTGAGGCCGACATGCTAAGCAGCCAACCACTGCAAATCCACTGTAAATCACCAACCCTTCCTGTTAACGGTGGGTTGTAAAGTGCTCTCCATTCATGTGTTCACTTCTCTGTTCGGTTCAAATGTACAATCTAAGCAATATCAACCATATTTTTTTAATTTTTCTTGATTTATCACTTTTAACAGTAAGTAATACATTGTTTTGCCTGACTTATTGCTAAAAGTGTAGTCAGCATTATTGGCCAATTCTAATAACAAGCCACCATGGTGTTTAAACCTTGGGGATATTTGTAGTTCAGGAAAAGGGTTGCAGCAGTCCACTCTAATGTGTCCATCACAATTAGCAGCTATTACAGACAGCTCAGAAGTGGATAGTTGTTGTTTCCAGTCGCTTAGTAGAAGGCTGACCGTTTAAAAATTTACTCCGGAGTAAATGCTAGTTTGCAGGGCAGCACCGATATAAAATGGGACGTGTGAATGCTACAGGGGTAGCCTCACTGCGCGTGAGAAGAGTTGATTACATACGGGTATTGCATAACTTGCATCCTGGGTGTTTTGCACTTCTTTCCTTTCTCTTTCTCATCCTTTTACGGTGTCTGATCGACCACAGCATTGATTTGTCTGGAGAAGTATAAACCATGGTTTTTTGATATGTCACAAAAAAGGCGTGGAAAAGGAAGTACACGTTACGCATGTGCATGTTTTATTTCCGTATTATCGTCTTGCATGACCACAGAAATTGCCGTGTGAATGCAAGTGGGGCTGCACCAGGGTTAAGACGCCTCTCTTTAGTAAGCAGCTTTATACGTGTGAACGCTCCACAAAAATGTACACCGGTGTAAGATAAATTGCAACAAACTACATCGTTGCAGCACCGCTGCAAATGTGTGCCTTGTGAACACCCCTTAAGTCAACAGGTCCAGT